CAGGGTTTAGGGCTATTGTGCATAGGGTCGCTATGAGTCGCAAACGACTCGACGGTACATAACAACAAGAAAAATCACAGGTTGAAATATTAATCATTCAGTTAATAATAGTAAGTTAGTCAAATTACAAATGTATAGTATGGACCATAATTTTAAACAAGAAATAGTACTTAGTAAAGATAACATTCTCTGAGGAGATTCTCCTTTAATTTTGCTATTTGAATGCTTAATAGAACACATTGAGCAGAAGTTTATAGGGCAATACAGTACACTTCAGGCAGAAACTTAGGATCATGAATAGTAAGTAGTACCTTTCATCAGTTACAAGGTTCTGAGATTAAAATCTCCTCCATATCAAAATTAAAAAAGGAACAGTAAATTAATAGATTTCAGTTTAAAATGTGGTTTACCTACAAAATGCCCTTTTCTCACTAACATTCTTAGTGATATAGTTTTGACCAGTAATATATGAGAAAATGTATTCAGATTGACACAGCCTAAATGGGTGTAAATGGACAATAAAACATGAGTTAATGCTCACAGAATTTAAAACCTTCTGGGGTTTTAACCACAGATCACTTGTTTCTATATACTCATCACAGTGAACACATAAAAAAAATAATCATTGTTACATAAATTAAAATGCCATTTGGAGTGTGAAAAACATGCATTGTAACTCAGCCACTTATTTTCAAAGGCTTCCTACTGCATCAGAAAGTTGAACAATGTATGAGAAGAATTGAGGTCTTTGAATTGTGATGTGGAAAAAAGTACTGAATATTCCATGGACTGCCAAAAGAACAAACACGTCTATTTTGGTGGAAGTGCAATCAAGGTGCTCCTTAGAGGCAAGGATGGTGAAATTCCAACTCACATACTTTGGGAAAAGATATGCTGGGAAAGATAGGGGGTCAGAGAGAGAGAGGGGAAGGTCCTCAACAAGATGGTCTCACACAGTGATTGTAACAATGGGCCCAGACATATCACAGATTATGAGGACCCCACAGTGTGATGCACAGTTCAGATGTGTTATTAATCACTATGAGCTGTAATTGACTCTATAGTATCTAACAACAGTAACATCTCTGAGATTCTGCCCCTTCTGCAAAATTAAAATAGTAAGCATCTTATGGGATTTTATGAGAAGGAAATTATTTTAAGTATCAAATAGCTATGTTGTAGACATAAAATAAACACACTGTAAAATTCACTTTCCCCACCATTACTATGTTTTCTAAATCTATCCGTTTCTGAGTTTTCTGAGTCCAGGATTTCTATCTTCTCCATTCATGTATCTTCTGTACCTAGCCAAAGGCCTGACACACAGTTTAAGCAGAATAAATTATTTGCTAGACTGAAGTATACAGAAATAATGTTAAAAGTTTTTAGTACTACTTACCAGGTCATAAATCATAATTCATTCTATCCTTTGCTATACAAAATAAATGCTTAGCTTGAAAATAAAATTGTATAAAATGTATACAGACTCTCAATAGCACACATTTCCAGCACAACATTATAAATCAAACTAAAGTGATCTAAGTTGATGGACTAAGTATCATTGTGGAAAAAAGGTGAAAGCAAAATGATACATTTGAAGTAATGCTTTATGGATAAGTAGACCAAACTAAGACATTCTTTTAAGGGACTTAATTTGCTTTAAAAGATTTAGATTATAAGGTTTTTTTAAAAAGGTTTTCAATTTTGTGTTTACTGGAAATCATCCATTTTAGATTGAGTGGAAGAGTTCAAGTCTAAAGAAAGATAAATTTAAAAAATATTTACTGATTATGCATTTTTGAGGATGAGTAACTTAACTACCCTGGGTTACCAAACTAGGGATGTAAGCCAACAGAAATTAATCACTTGGTAAAATGTATCCTGTTATCATTGACTTTGAAAACAACCCTCTCAGTCAGTGACAGTAATACTCAGGTCAATTTGCACACTGAATAAATGAGTTTATTCTTAAAATAAAATACTGGCTTTATTGCATATTCACAGATACATTATAACACATGTATTTAAATACAAATACCCAAGAAGCAACTGCAAAATTTTATTACTAAAGAACAGTACTCTAAAATTCTTCTTTTGCTACTGACTACATAAGAGCTTTTTATTCCAAGTGGAGTTGGTTCATGGTCAGAGTACACTAATAACTTCAGAGAATTTCATAGTGAGTGAAAGAGATA